CAAAGCACCGAGCTGATCTCCCTGTGCTATGCAGCTGCTTCCCACCAGCCATCCATTCTACATTTGGTAGTGTATATATGTCCATATGTCCTCTCACTTCATCCCAGCTTACCCTTCCCCCTCCCTGTGTCCTCAAGTCAATTCTCTATGTCTGCATCTTTATTCCTGTCCTGCCCCTAGGTTCTTCAGAACTTTTTTTTTTTTTTAGATTCCATATATATATGTGTTAGCATACAGTATTTGTTTTTCTCTTTCTGACTTAACTTCACTCTGTATGACAGACTCTAGGTCCATCCACCTCACTACAAATATCTCAATTTCATTTCTTTTTATGGCTGAGTAATATTCCATTGTATATATATATATGCCACATCTCCTTTATCCATTCATCTGTCAATGGACACTTAGGTTGGTTCCATGTCCTGGCTATTGTACATAGTGCTGCAATGAACATTGTGGTACATGACTCTTTTTAAATTATTGTTTTCTCAGGGTATATGCCCAGTAGTGGGATTGCTGGGTCGTGTGGTAGTTCTATTTTTAGTTTTTTAAGGAACCTCCATACTGTTCTCCACAGTGGCTGTATCAATTTACATTCCCACCGACAGGGCAAGAGAGTTCCCTTTTCTCCACACCCTCTCCAGCATTTATTGTTTGTAGATTTTTTGATGATGGCCATTCTGACTGGTGTGAGGTGATACCTCATTGTAGTTCTGATTTGCATTTCTCTAATGATTAGTGATGTTGAGCACCCTTTCATGTGTTTGTTGGCAGTCTGTATATCTTTGGAGAAGTGTCTATTCAGATCTTCTGCCCATTTTTGGATTGGGTTGTTTGTTTTTTTGATATTGAGCTGCATGAGCTGCTTGTAAATTTTGGAGATTAATCCTTTGTCAGTTGCTTCATTTGCAAATATTTTCTCCCATTCTGAGGGCTGTCTTTTCATCTTGTTTATGATTTCCTTTACTGTGCAAAAGCTTTTAAGTTTCGTTAGGTCCCATTTCTTTATTTTTGTTTTTATTTCCATTTCTCTAGGACATGGGTCAAAAAGGATCTTGCTGTGATTTATGTCATAGAGTGTTCTGCCTATGTTTTCCTCTAAGAGTTTTATAGTGTCTGGCCTTACATTTAGGTCTTTAATCCATTTTGAGTTTATTTTTGTGTATTCCACCAGTACTTTTATTTCTTCTCAATTCTAATCTCCTAGTCCTTCTAGTTCAGCATTTTTCTATTATCCTAACCAGGATAACTAAAATCTCAGAAGCCAAAAAGTAAAAATCATCTTTCTTGGAAGCAGAATAAGTAGGGACAGAGAGGAATGCTAATTTATAAATATATATTTTTTTGATTCTAACAGGTGGGGAGTAGAGGGGAATATCTTATTTAAAAAAGGAAAGATTGGTCCCAGGATCCGGTCTCCTCTCAGCATAGAGCCCCTCCCCCATCCTGGCATACCCTCCTCATTCATTCTCTCAGGCAAAGAGACTCAAGTTCACTTCATTCGGTCTTCCCATTCTGACTCTAAATTGCATCCCTATGCCAGAAACAAATTTCCCCTTCCTAATTCACCTTTCCCATTCCCTTTCCACAGCTGCTGCTCAAATAGCAAAATGCCTCTTCTCTGAACCCCTCCCCAAGCCACTTGAAGAGAAATGACCGATTTCATCATTTCAAAACATGTTACTGTCACAACTCCTTCTCCATGTGTCTTTTGACATGAATATAATGATGCAAATTCTTTATGAATTTAAAGGCTCTATTTCTTAAATGTTTGTCCATTTGTCTTCATACAATTAATATAATTAACCTATCCGCCTGCACCATTACTCTCTGAAGAAGACTATAAAGTTTTAGAAAACAAGGGGTCCATCTGTTTAATCACCACCCGCCTACTGCTTCATGTCCCAACATTATCAAACCAATTATAGTGCCCAGCCCACATCCACAGCCCACATCCTCTTTCATCCCCCTGAGCATTACCTCTCTCTAAAGCAGAGGTTGGCAAGTTTCTCCTGTAAAGGACAAAAGAGTAAATATTTTAGGCTTTGGGAGCCATATGGTCTCTGTCACAACTACTCAACTCTGCCATTATAGTGCAAATGCATACACAATACATAAACGAGTAAGTGTGGCTGTACTCCAATAAATTCTTATTTTGAAAAACAGACAACAGGCCAGATTTGGCCTGCAGGCTGCAGTCTGCCAAACCCTGGTCTAAAGCATCCTGCCTTCCAACCTCCATCTGGCTAGCTCCTGGTTTTCCGACAAGACTCATCACAAGTTATCTTCTTGAGAGTACTTTCTCCTATACCTGGGTAGGTGCATCCTTTCTTTGTAGTCCTGTAGCATATATACCAAAGTATTTTGCAGGGGGAGGAAAAGCTTCTTCCCCAAGCCTGATGTTTCCTTCCACATGGAGGGAGTTCCACATCCATGACACTGCTGGCCCCTCTCTACTCCCACAAACTCTTCCCATGGGAGATGGAGCAACTTGGAGTGGGCTTACTCTTCTTGTTGGTGGGAGCAAAACGCCCACAGAGAACACATATTCTTCCCACCTCCCGATGCCATGAGGGGGCACTTCTAGGAAAGCCCTGTCTATCCAGTGCTGCCTGTGCCTGGGTGCGTAAATCTCTTTCCAGATTTCTCCATTATCAGTAACAGTAATATTTTTATCACTATCTGACTTTTGGATTATCTCTTAATTGCTTCAGAATTCTAGAGGGAGTCAGGGGAGGTATTTACTAAGCCCCACTCACTGCAACATAGACCACTCGCCACAGTACTCAGCATGTTACTTACAAGTATTCTTTGTATATCTTCTTTAACGTTAGTCAATGATTCTCAGGGTAGACCTTAGTCCCCTGGAGGGCCCTTCCAGTGACCATGAGCAGACCCAGAAATGCAAGTCTTCTTTCATACTTATAGCACATGACACACTTTCTATTAGCTTTTATTTTTACCTACAACCTAACGTTCCTTACTAATATCCTACCAGTGAGTTAGCTGTACTTTCTAAGTTGAAGCTATGAATAGAGTTTACTGAATCTTTAATTCAGTATCGGGTTAAGTCTGGCAGCCACTCATTTGGAAATACTGCAAAACTTTTGCATGAGCACACAGGACAGAATCACAGTTTTCAGGAAACACAATTTGTGAATCATGTATCACTGATGCTGTCTACAATTGGTCATGGTTTCCAACTACTGCTATTCGCTTTTGGCTTTTGCATTATACATCACAGTAAGTATAACATCTTTATGAATTTATTGTGTGTCATTTGGGTAACCTTACAATGTATATTAATGCATATTTGTCCATCTGGAGGGCAGAATAGGGTAATAATTAGAGTACAGGCTCTAAAGTCAGACTGCCTGGTTTTTATCCCAATATCACCACATACTAGCTGTGTGACTTTGGGTAAGTTATTCAACCCCTTGTACTTCAGCTTCTTCACCATTAAAATGGGAGACTAGTACCTACGTCATAAGGATACTGGGAAGATTAAATGAGATAATCCATGGCTTAGACCACATAGATAGCTATTATTACGTTATAGTACTATGCACAGGAATAGGACATTTGGCCTCTAATTTTCCAGTAACTAGACTTTAAGCTATGTATAGATGCAGTTCAAATACAAATCATTCATAAATCTATTGCTAAAGCAGATATATCTATAATCCTCCCAAAATTTGTTTACATTGCATGTTTCATTGGTGATATGTTTTATAGTACATATTTGTTTGGTACGTATTGTCTGTCTCTCTACTAGAACCTCATAAGGCCAGAGACTTTTCCTTATCTGTGGGTTGTCTACTAGAGCCCCAGTGCCCAGAGCAGTGCCTGCCTGGCACATAGTAGGCTCTCAGTAGCTTTTTAAATAAACTACTATGCTAACTATGAATCTATACCACATAATTTGCAGTATAATATTGAGTTTGGTGTAATAAAATTACTAGATGATCAAACTTTTGGTATTGTTTTTTACCTTAAAACCAAATGTTTAAGCTCATATTGTCATTGTAGTAAATAATGAGTGATTTGTATATATTCTGCTGTAATTCTTTGCTATAACTGAATTATTTTCCACTAAGAACATGTAGGATAGGTGACCAGGGTTCTTTTGCAAGGTCTGAGCAGGCCACAGCGAAATAAAGAACTGTGTTTTTCAATTCAACAATGCAAAAGTATTTTCAATGACCCAGCAGTTCCAGTTCTACACAATATGCCCAAAAGAAATAAGTGGGAAAGTCCATCTGTACAAGAGTGTTCACAATGGCTTTGTTCATAATAGCTAAAAATTGGAAACAACCCAAATATCCATTATAGAAGAATAAATTCATGGCAGAATACTTATGCAATGGAATATTATGCAGCAATTTTTTTAAACCCAATATAAAATAAAAATTAAATTAAAAAACAAAAAAACAAACCATGTAGTCTTACGTGTAGTAACATGGATGAATTTCATAGAAATAAAGAGGAGCAAAAGAAGCCAGATAGCAGAGATAACACAGAGTATGGTTCTTTTTTTTTTTGGCTGCACCACACAGCATGCAGGATCTTAGTTCCGCGACCAGGGATCGAACCCGTGCCCCCTGCAGTGGAAGTGCAGGGCCTCGACCACTGGATTGCCAGGGAAGCCCAGTGTATGAATCCTTTTATATGAAGATTCAACTTATATGAATTTATATGAAGTATATTCATTATAGACAAAACCAATCTGTGGAGAAAGAAGTCAAAATAGTGGTTATCTCTGTTGGGGGAATGTGAGGGGGCAAGACAAAGCCTTTTAGGATATGGAAAACGTTCTAAATTTTAATTTGGGGCCAAGTTCAAAGGTGTGCATGTGTGTTGCTGTGTGTACGTGTATAAACTTATTGAGTTGTACACTTAAGATCTATTCAAATCTTTATAGTATGTATGTTATACGTGGATGTGTGTGTGTGCGTATTTTTTTTAAGACATAGAATAATTCCTGTATGCCTGACATTTAGCTGGGCCCTGGAGACATCCTGATGGAAAACACAAGACTGGCCTTCCCCTCGGTAAGTATATCTCTGGTGCTAGCTCAGTATCTGTGCTCAGTGAATTGGTGGGGACCTGAACTGAGCGCTTTTCTGTACACTAACCACTTAAACTTTTAAAAAATACTATTGCTGATACTAATGGCAACCACGTTGCTTTATATTTATTTGACAAACATATTTTGTTTCATTTTAGGCTTTTTCAGTCTGAGGTCATCACGATGCCTCATTACGGAAAAATCCCAGAACATTCACCCCCCTCCAGCAAAAGAACTCCATGCACTTTCACCTGCAGATTTCATAATTGATTCTCTGTGCTGCTGGCATTCTCCATATCCCACAGAGCTGTGCGCTAAAATCCAGAGCAATGAACACACCTAAGAAAAATGACGCTTCTGAGCCTACCCCATGGTGCAGTAAATTTGAAAGTACTCTTAATAACAATCAGGGGCAACATTGACTTTAATGGTCCTCAAATCCATCACGTAATTTCATTAGCCACCCAGCACAGATGCAAAAAGGGGTGATGTCATACTTTTTCCTCTTGCTCTGAAACCCGAGTCAGGCGCCAGAGATGGAAACTAGTTTTAGAGACTCTAATCGGATTAAAGCTTCTGGCAGCCACTGATCAATAGGTGGGAGCCAGAGGAATCCCAAAATGTGCAAAGCCCTCTCAGGCCCCTTCACGGGCACAGCCTCACTCAAGCAGAAGGGAGGTTCAGGTCTGCAAATGGGGAAAATCAAGATGCTGTGTCCAAAGGCACTGTGCTATTTCCAGTTTTCCCCAGGACCCAGGTCCACATGGGAGAGCGGGGTCATCACTGAAGCAGCAGCCTCAAATACTACTCCGTGATCTAACTTCTCACACGCCATCATATTGGAAACCAGCAGTTCAAAGCCTGGGCTTTGGAATCAGCCACAACTTGATCCAAAACCTAGCTCTTCCACTGACTACTTTAACCCTGAGAGAGCAACCCTACCTCTCTGAGATGCAGCTTCCTCGTCGCAAGGTGCAAATAACACCACCTACCTCACAGAGGTGTAGTGACAACAAAGAGCTCGTGTGTGTTACATGCTCGTGACAGTCCCTGGGCCTATGTATTTACCTGCTCAATAAACGAGAGCTAAGAATGAAAAGAAATGATCACCTGTGATGAAGAGCCACCAATAATCATTCTAATTCATAGAAGTCTGAAATTCCCCCTCAAACAAGAGAGAACATTTTAGCCTCTATCATTTTACTTATCTCAACTTTCCCATCTCTCAAAACTTAGCAGGAGCAAGAAGCCGGTGCCTGGATGTGCTTCTAACCTCCAGGTTGCTTTAACAAGAACTTCAGTAACATGGCAAAATACAATGACCTCATCATCCCAGTGTTGCAGCAGTAAAAAAATCAATGCTACTTAAAAAGCCTGACAATCAATCAAGGTCTAGCCAGATATCTGTGGAAGTCAAACAGGCCCGTATAAAAACTGATTCACCTAGGGATCTCATTAAAGGTCTGCAGCAGTATTTCCCTGATGTAAGCCGGGAGTTTTCATTTGGGTTGTTTTTTCTTTTTTCAACTATGGAATCCCTGTGAGATCAGGGCTATACTTCTCCCCTGCAGCTGGCTTCGGAGCACTTCTATTAGATGAATGTCCTCACTTGCATTACCAGTGCAAACGGTCATTCATGTGTCAGTGTCATTCCACCCTCCCTTGGTGACTGGTACTCTCTCCTACTGAAAGCATACTCTGCTTTAGTCTGGAGGAAGCTCTTGAAAAAGTAATAAACACGTTTTATTTTTATTGCACTATACAAAGTAGTGTAGAAGTTATAAAGAGTATAATTTTAAGAGGATGCATTTGTATTCTACGGGCCTTTTTCTAAAACCCCATAATTCAAATATTAATGTAAAACAACTTTCCCCCTTCTGAGCTCAGGTCATTTTAAGAAATAGCACCTCTTATGGGCCAGGCATTCTTCTAGGCACTAGAGATTCAAAGATGGATAAAGCACAAGCCTTCTCCTCTCTGGGATTGTGTGAGACTAATAAGCACAGATACCACTAACTCCAGACCCAGTCCCTGAAAAACAAAAACAAAAACAAAACAGGATGAAAGACAGGGTGTGGCACACACCACATTTTTTCCCCTCTAGGAGTTAAAAGGCTACTAGACTCTGGATTATCCACTCCAGTACAATCAACTTAGAGTGGAAACTTAAACTAGTGTGAAAAATGGGTGAACTGGAATGAGAGGCCCCGCTGTTTCCAGCAGCATTAGCAACTTACTCATTGAGAAACTAAATAAAACTAAATTCAGGACCCAATTCTCAGCCTGCTCCACATCCCATGAATACATGGTGAGAAAGGGAATTAGCTTACACATTACAAATAATATATTCTTCAGCTCCTCAAGAGCATGCCTTAATTTCTTTAATTAGTCTCCCTATCTATAAGTATATTAATACCTATCTGGTAAGGTTGTTGTGAGACTGAAGTGCAACAATATATATAAAGTGTATAGAAAAGCACCCAGCTTGTATTAGGTACTCACTGAAAGACAGCTATAAGAAAACTCAGTTCCAAGATACCAAAAGGAGTGGTACCACAGATGCTATGCCTCCTGGCTAGCTTCTGCTTTTTCTTATTTTGAAGCAGGAAAAGCCGACTTTTCTCTAGTCACACTAGCCTAGAAGGATCTAACCTTAGCTACTAGCACAAGAAGGTCACTGGGACAACAAAGCAACCTTGAAAAGAGATCTAGAAACATATCCAACAAAAAACATAAAGTTGATTAGAATATCAGTAATCCCAACGATTACAAATAGGTTACGTTCTCTAATTAAAAGGTAAGAACTTTCAATCGCCAAGATATAGAAGCAATCTAAGTGTCCATCAATAGATGAATGGATAAAGATGTGGTATGTGTATATATAACACTCAGCTATTAAAAATATATATATATATTGAAATCTTGCCATTCTCGACAACATGGATGGACCTAGAAGGTATTATGCTAAGTGAAATGAGTCAAAGACAAATACTGTATGACTTGACTCGTATGTGGAATCTAAAACACAAAACAAATGAACAAACAAAACAAAACAGGAACAGAGTGACAGATACAGAGAACAAACTAGTGGTTGCCGGAGACAAGAGGGGTGGGACTTGGGGGGAAATAGTTGAAGGGGATTAAGTGGTACAAAGTTCCAGTTATAAATTAAATAAGTCACAGGGATGTAACGTACAGCATAGGGAATATAGTCAACAATATTGTAATAACTTTGTATGGTGACAGAAGGTAACTAGGCTTATTGTGGTGATCATTTTGTAATGTATATAAATATCAAATTACTATGTTGTATACCTGAATCTAACATAACATTGCATATCAATGACACTTCAAATAAAAAAAATAAGACGTTTCAGACTGATTCTTTTTTTGGGGGGGTGGGGAACGGGGGGAGGTACCACGCCGCTTGCAGGATCTTAGTTCCCCGACCAGGGATCGAACCCCGGCCCCGGCAGTGAGAGCACCAGGTCCTAACCACTGGACCTCCAGGGAATTCCCCAGACTGATAAAAAAAAAAAAGGCAAGCTCCAACTGCATGCAATTTAAGAGAGATTTATCTAACACAAGATAATACAAAAAGGTTGCAAATACACAGATGGCCCAAAGACAGACCAAGCAAATATTGTACAAATGAAAAGAAAGCATTATAGTAATATTAACATTAGCTCATACAGAATTCAAGGCAAAAACTCTATACGGAACAAAAAGTTGTTTCATATGGATAAACAATAGATTCATCAAAATATATAGCAACCATGAACCTTTTCACTCCCAATCTCGTGGCAGCAGACACATAATGAGTAACAGAGTGTTCAAAATATGTCAGACGCAGTTCTAAGCTCTTTACACACAGCAACTCATGTAATCTTCCCAAGAGCTCTATAAAGTAGATGATGTGGTTTTACAGGTGAGGAAACTTGTCAAGGCCTGTAGGCTCGTGAGGGTGGAGCTCCTATCCAAACCAGGCAGATGGACTGGCATCAGTACTCTTAACTTTCTACTACGCTCTCTCCAAAAAGTAAAAAGAAGTATTAGAAACAGAAAGAAAAAAAAAAAAAACCTCAAATGCATAGGTATAGTGAGAGAGGTTAAAAAACCATTCCCAAAATTTGTCATCTCAAGGTAACAAAAAATATAGAAAAGATGTGAATAACACACACTACAAGCTTGACTTCATAGCAAATCATTCTCTCTCTCCAAAGGGGAGAGAACACATTCTTTTCAAATGTCCGTGGCACATTTATTTAAAATAAAAAGAGAAAGATCATTTAATACTCCATGAAAAATTTCTCTGTAAATTTCTAAAAGTAGAACTCTTATAGGATCCCCCTTACTGATTAAAATGGAATTAAATCTAAAACCTCACTTTTCTAAATAACCCTTGCGTCAACGAGTAAATAAAAACGTAACTTATAAATTATTTGGAAATTAACGTATGTTGAAACACTAAATGCAAAATTCTATGGGATGGAGCCAAAATCTTACTCAGGAGAAAAATCATATCCTTAACTAAGTTTTTTCCTAAAACAAGAAATGTCTAGAATAAATATTTTTGGAACATTAGACTCAGAAGCTAGAAAAAGAACAATAAAATAAACGAAGGAAACCAATGAATTAGAAGGTTTAAAAGAACTAGAATTGCTGAGTAAAACTAAAACTAGTTCTTTTTTAAAAAAGCATTAAGGGGGCTTCCCTGGTGGCGCAGTGGTTGAGAGTCCGCCTGCCGATGCAGGGGACACGGGTTCATGCCCCAGTCCGGGAAGATCCCACATGCCTCGGAGCGGCTGGGCCCATGAGCCATGGCCACTGAGCCTGTGCGTCCGGAGCCTGTGCTCCGCAACGGGAGAGGCCACAACAGTGAGAGGCCCGCATACCACACACACACACACAAAAAAAAAGTATTAAGGGATGTTTGACAATCTAACAAAAGGGAAAAAGTTTGAGAACACAAGACTTCTTATATATCAATTAAAAATGAGAGAAGTAATCTCTTCCCAAAAAATAAGTAAAGACTCATGAACAAAGCAATTTCAAAAGAAGAAACAAACTGCCAAAAAACATATGATAAGTTATTCAGCCTGATTAGTAACTAGAGAAATGTCAATTAAAATAACAATGAAAAATCATTTTCCACCCTAAGATTTGCAAAAGTTGGTGAAGCTGCAAATACTCGTGAAGTGTAAATCAGTTTAACTTTTTGGAGGTAATAAATGAGACAATATACACCGAAGTTTTATATAAATATTCCTTTTGACCTAGCTGTTAGGCTTGTAGAAACTGCCCAAAGGAAATAAACAAATGGACAAAAATTAATGTACATGAGAGGCCTTTAAGATGGCAGAGGAGTAAGATGTGGAGATCACCTTCCTCCCCACAAATACATCAGAAATACATCTACATGTGGAACAACTCCTTCAGAACACCTACTGAACGCTGGCAGAAGACCTCAGACCTCCCAAAAGGCAAGAAACTCCCCACCTACCTGGGTAGGGCAAAAGAAAAAAGAAAAAACAGACAAAAAATTAGGTACAGGACCTGCACCAGTGGGAGGGAGCTGTGAAGGAGGAAAGGTTTCCACACACTAGGAAGCCCCTTCACTGGTGGAGACAGGGGGTGGCGGAGGGGGAAGCTTTGGAGCCACGGAGAAGAGTGCAGCAACAGGGGTGCAGAGGGCAAAGCGGAGAGATTTCCCGCACAGAGGATCGGTGCCGACCAGTACTCACCAGCCAGAGAGGCTTGTCTGCTCACCCGCCGGGGCGGGCAGGGGCTGGGAGCTGAGGCTCGGGCTTCGGAGGTTGGATCCCAGGGAGAGGACTGGGGTTGGCGGCATGAACACAGCCTGAAGGGGGCTAGTGCACCACAGCTAGCCGGGAGAGAGTCCGGGAAAAACTCTGGACCTGCCGAAGAGGCAAGAGCCCACTGTCTCAGGGGTCGTGAGGAGAGGGGATTCAGAGCCCTGCCTAAACCAGCTCCAGAGACGGGCGCAAGCCGCGGCTATCAGTGTGGACCCCAGAGATGGGCATGAAATGCTAAGGCTGCTGCTGCAGGCACCAAGAAGCCTGTGTGCAAGCACAGGTCACTCTCCACACCTCCGCTCCCGAGAGCCTGTGGAGCCCGCCACTGCCAGGGTCCGGTGATCCAGGGACAACTTCCCTGGGAGAACACACAGGGCACCTCACGCTGTTGCAACGTCACGCCGGCCTCTGCCGCCGCAGGCTCGCCCCGCATCCGTACGCCTCCCTCCCCCAGGCCTGAGTGAGCCAGAGCCCCCTAATCAGCTGGTACTTTAACCCTGTCCTGTCGGGACAGGAACAGATGCCCTCAGGTGACCTACACGCAGAGGTCAGGCCAAATCCAAAGCTGAACCCCAGGAGCTGTGCAAACAAAGAGAAAGGGAAATTTCTCCCAGCGGCCTCAGGAGCAGCGGATTAAATCTCCACAATCAACCTGATGTACCCTGCATCTGTGGAATACCTGAATAGACAACGAATCATCCCAAATTGAGGTGGTGGACTTTGGGAGCAACTGTAGACTTGGGGTTTGCTTTCTGCATCTAATTTGTTTCTGCTTTTATGTTTATCTTAGTTTAGTATTTAGAGTTTATTATCATTGGTAGATTTCTTTATTGATTTTGTTGCTCTCTTCCTTTTTTTATCTTAATATATAGATATATTTTTTTTACCTTTTTCTATTTATGTGAGTATGCATGGGTATGCTTTTTTTTTATTCAAACAGAAAGTCACAAAAGTTATAATCATCCTCATCACTTCACTCAGTCCCCTGTAATTAATTTTTTTATCTTGATCTTTTGTTAGCACTTTTATGAGTTCATCAGTTTTCCATTAGAGTTCTGAAAATGCTTATTCATTCAGTTCAGCAGTATAGTCAATTACCAGAAACCTGTACTTGTCAGAGTCTTTTCCATGAATTCCTTGAAGATTAAACCCTTTTACAGGAACATTTTTGCAAAAGCATCAGAGTACACCCAGAACTGTCTGTAAATGACAGAAGACTTAAAAATGACCACGGATAAAGATTTGATGAAAGTTCATAATAATGCAATTGACAAGGAAATTTAGTTGTTTCTGAGACATACATTTTAAAGTAATAACTAAAATTATGACTTATAACATTATACCAGAACATATAAGATTTTTAGAAATTATACCAGAACATATAAAATTTTTAGAAATTTCATGTAATGTCTGAAACATTTATATTAACATATTTCCATACAACTGACCCAATGAAAGTTTAGTATTAGTTGTTTTGCTTGTCTTTTTATACTGCAGGTTCTTATTAGTCGTCAATTTTATACACATCAGTGTATACATGGCAATCCCAATCACGCATTTCAGCACACCACCATCCCCACCCCACCGTGGTTTTCCGCCCTTGTGTCCATACGTTTGCGTTCTATATCTGTGTCTCAAATTCTGCCCTGCAAACTGGTTCATCTGTACCATTTTTCTAGGTTCCACAAACATGCATTAATATACGGTATTTGTTTTTCTCTTTCTGACTTATTTCACTCTGTATGACAGTCTCTAGATCCATCCATGTCTCTACAAATGACTCAATTTCGTGCCTTTTTATGGCTGAGTAATATTCC